ACTAATTATAGTTGTTACTATAATACTTCACGATAAAGACAGTGTTTCCTCGTTATTATACATTTATATCGAGAACGCTTTGTATGAAACTAGATTGAAGCTATTCACATTAGTGACAATTATTGAATGTCCTTTAAATTATATTCTTAATTCAGATTGGTTAATATTCCATAACTATTAATGCACTTATTCATAGGTATACGAATCTTTAACCTAGCAAAAATAAAACACCAAGATCAAATTGAAAGCTGCTCGGATATTATTCGGCTCCTATTCAGGTTACTAGAGTCTGATATCGGCTGCTGAAATTTTCAAAGCACTCTGTGTCAGTTTCACATCGCGTCGCGTCGCGTCGAGGATGTCTGCTCGCGATGAACTCCGGCAGAAGCAAGACAGAGCCGAGGATAAAGCGCAAGAAAGGTCGAAGAGAAAGAGAGGGAGAGAGAAAGAAAGAGAGAGGGAGAGAGAGAGAGAGAGAGAGAGAGAAGTGCAGCGATATTCGAGTGGCACGGGGAAGCGACACGACGGAATTTCAGAAATTGCGCCCGACATTTTCGCATGCAGTATATGTGTATATATAGCCAACCGAGCGACAGTTTCCTTCTGCTTATCCTCTACGATCTTCTTCTCTTCATCTTCATCCTTATCCATTTCTTGTATACTCCTTCCTCCTTTCAAACTTTTGCGATTGAAACAGAGGGATGTACCGGCGAGATATTCGGAAATCGGCGATTCCGTTGAAGACATCTCGATGTTGCGATAGCGATTTCGAGTTTGAGTGAGTTAGCGTAAGACTGAACGCGTAAACCTTTACACTGCAAATTCAAGTGTATTATTTTAACTGAGGCTTTTACACATTTTTTGCCGATTTAAATGACGTCATTTAACACGATTGAACGCATTAATACGATTAAACGTATATTAATTTATAACATTAACAAAACATATGTAAAATGAGCTTCAGTCAAATGTGTCATTTTTGAACGTTTATGCGTGTAGAAATAACACACTTGGATTTACAGTGTATAATATACCTATAATCGTGAATTACGCAAAATTTTTAAATATTGGCACGTTTCAGATAATATTATATAATTTTCAGTTTAAATTTCTGATGAGTACTAGACAAAATATTCAGTTATTCACAATACTGTTTCAAGGATTAAAACGCCTTAGAGACTCTTGGAACGCCCGCGCCGTTCGCGTCCTCGAACCAGATTCGCGGTGGATTTTCCGCGGAGAGAATTGCGAGTTAATTTCCCGTGCGGTCGCCTCCAGCTCATAACATCGGCTCGTTGTCGTCGTCAATTATTTTTAATTGCGCGCCGATCGGGGCTCCAGGCTTTGCGCGGCGTGCATTAAAATGCGCTTGGGTGTAAAATTGAAGCTCGCGAGGTCGCGGTCGCGGTACACTGTATCTCCGTCGACGCGATAATGTGATTTTCAACAAATAATTTTGATTCTCCCCTGCTCATTGTACGTATAGCGCTCTCACAACCGCCCAATTCGTTGCGAGCATTATTTTGCGCGGGGGGTCATCAATGATGGACGAGTTCGTGCTTGAAATCATTGCGAAACGAGAGATTGCAGGGGATGGCCGGAGGGATGAAGGGGAGACGAGTGATTGGAAAGGGGAGAGGCGGCCGGCAGGTGCGTGGCTGTTCAATATTCATCGGCGAGAGGCGTCGAAATGATTTTAAGTGCCTGCAGAAATTGCCGCGGCACCGGCGTTTTCTGATAATCTGCATTATTTCGATCGCTTTGATCGCCGCTGCTTTAATAATATGTAGATTTATGTTTTCATCCGGACGGCCGTAACGGCGGCAACGGCAATGGCAACGGCAACGGCGGCGGCGGCGGCGGCGGCGCGTCACTTCTCCCGTTCTGACACAGTCCGACGGGATGTGGAAATTATTATTGAATTATTTATTACATTTTAAGTAGCGGCAGAACGCGTCCTTCGTTTACTGAAACTTTACGTGAAGAACAGTGTTAAATGTAAAATAAATTTCATCGCTATAATTACGTTCGTCAGGGTGTTAGTAATGCGATTAAATGGTAGAAAATTACTTCCGTCATCTTATATCACTATATTTTAAGGATCCTAAAGTAATGCTGAAAGTACTGTGAAGTGCCATAAGCAGCATCTTCATTAAAGAAATTTAAGGAAATTTGGAAAGTCGTTAAAAGGATTATAAAAGATGGAAATTATATTTTGGGTCCGCTTGTAGTGGTTCTATTTCAAGTGAAATCTCTTTCAACTCAGGAGCAAAATGTTTAGAATTTACTTACTGAAAATTAGGGAAAATTTTTTCGCAGCATTTATTCGGGAAAAACATATTGAATTTGTATAATATCGAATATAATTCTCGGTCATGGAAATTTGATGTTTTTCAAAATTATCTCTTTCATGATGAAAAAGAAAAAAAATATATATTTTTTTTAAATACATCTTGCATTTTCATATTTCGCGTATTTTGAAATTTTTAATAAAAAATATCACGACAAAAATGTAAAAATTTTGAAACAAAAACTCTAGTTGAAAAATGACGTTACGAAAATATTATATTTTAAAAATTAGCTATTTTTCAATACTCTCCAAAAGTATTTCACAAGCAAGTCGCTTCAATAGGTATTTTATTCCAGAAAATAGTTTGCTCTTTTTTTTATCATATCTTTTTGGTGTACTATTTTGGTGCCAACTATGCAACGACATGCACTTCGCTGCACTCGAAGGTATTCTTTTCCAGAGAACGACTCGAGAACTAAATGTGACGATAGTTCGGCTCGATAAAAGCGGTTTCCAAGAACTTCCGAAGGTACACCGCGAAATACGTCGTTGGGAATTCCTTCCAAGCGCTCGATTACCGATCTGAAAAATCCGCGGCGGAATAGTACTAAAGGCAAAAAAACAAGATATAGTCGCCAGGAGATTACTACTCGCTCGATTGTGTCGAGCGCGTACATCCTCTTCTGCTTCTAACTCTCCCTTTTCTCTCCCTTCCCTTTTTAATAAATGATCTTTCTCTCTTCGACCGCGCCGACCTCAGAGATGGGAATCGCGTTGTCATCGAACTTATCGCGATTATCAGTGTACGGCATATATCGGCACACGCATGCACATCGTCGTATGCAGTGTCGCCGGTACGGTGCAAGGAAGGAAAGGGAGGGTAACATTGATGAAAGGAGAATAGCGCATCGCAGATTCTATTCGCGCGATGAACGCGCGGATACGAGGTTAGAGAAGATAGCATCGTCGGATTAATTATGCGTAATGCATGGGACGTACGCGAGGATGCGTTTGTACGTTGCACCAACGAGAGAGGGGTATGGAGGGGACAGTCAGCGCATTCAATTATCGTCGTTACGCCGGGAGTTTACAGATGTTTCGACGATAATCGCGTTGCTATGCGGCTTCCACGTTCATCGTATTAAGTGTTGAATGCCGGCGGCATCAAGAAGGAACGAGGAAGACGAAGCGAGAGGGTGAAAAGGAAACACGGGGAGAGAGGGAGCGGGATTTAATTAGACTCGTTGGAAAAATTAACGCGGTCCGCTCGAAACGAACTGGCAGCACTTCAGATATCCCCGTGTCGCTGTTGTTCTTCCGCGACCGCGGAAATGCACCGCTGCAATCCGGCCGATGCAATCTGCGGAGTGGTCCGCCGTGATGCACGCGGCAGTTGCGGCTCGATGAACTTCCCTTATTCTCGGTCATAATCGAGACGATTACTCGTTGGCTCGCAATGTGCTTACTCCTACGAATTTTATTTCAAGAGATTTTGACAGGATTTTTTAATCTCATGTAACATGAGATTTAAAATTTGTATTAAAAAGGTACTACTGAATTCTTTTTTCAATGTGTTGAATTACAAGAGGCATGTGGTGATATTACAATAAAAAATGTATTTTACCCAAGATTTAACACATTTGCGACGCCCGCGAAAATGCACAATTTCACGCGCAATCCACACGAGTCACCTGCTATCCCCCTTCGGCGGCGACATGACGCGACTCTTGTTCTTTTTCTTCGCAATTCCGCATGGTCTTTTTTTTGTCGACAAGCTGATAGGTCGACGGGGCGCACGCGCGACGCCGCAGGAAAAATCGAGCGAGCATCGCCGGTAAACACTATAAATCAGCTTAATCCGCGCGTGGAGCGAAGCGAAGGGGTTGGGATGTGTGTGCGTCCGCGTGAATGTAGGTTAACGAAGGCGAAAAAGGAAAACAATTTTGGTGTCAGCGTTTCGAAATTTGCAAACCGCGCGAACACGACGCGATCCTATCGAATAAAAACAACGTGCGTTGCAACGGGTGAAACAAGACGAATTAGAGTGGGTGCAGATCCCAAGAACTACAAGGCATACGCGTAACGTTTAAAAAAATAACAAAATATGACATAATCAAATGGGTTGTTTGGATTTATCTGCCTCTTTCTTTATATTAGTATGATAATCTAAACATAAAGAAATTCAACTTTTAATTTTTATAAAAAAATAAGAATGATTATTGCATCATTGTCAGGAAATAATATCCGTTTTATATACACACGACATGCAAGTTTTATCGACTACAATCTAACCAAATACTTATCTATTCAACATATATCTATCTATACTTTAATCTAATTTATGATGTGATGCACTGCATGTATCTTGGGTTGAATCTGCTCTCGTTGGTCGCGAACGTTGCGATTTCCACGTAATCGCGATCGTAAGTCGACGCGCGTCTCCGCGCAAAACAAAAAAATTAAAAAAAGAAGAACAGAAAAGAAAAAGGGCGCAAGAATGGTCGTCCAGTAAAGTGTGCGATTTACGTAAACTCAATAATAACGCGGCGACGTCCGATCTTGGCATACCGAACGTATGTGTTCTCGGAAATCGCGATGCACTCCGGGGTGAGCGTATATACAGTTATTGGCGCGAAATGCAAGAGGACCCATCGGGGAGCAGCACGCCCCAGTGCGCACAGAGCGTGATCGTTTCTTTCTCTGCTTTCAGGCGTAGTCGGAGCTCGGAACCTCACGATGGAGTGCCGCAAGGGTCGACGGAAAGGAGGAGCTCCGATCCTCGGCAGTCTGCTACTTGCGTGGCTTTTAACCAACGGCTGCGCCGTCGTCGCGCGAAATATAGGTGAGTGCGAGAAAGTATTTACGATTTCGGTCCCGCGGTTCCTTGCCGCGGGTAGCCCTCCACCCCGACAGCCCCCCCTCTTGATCTTTGCGCCAATTAAGGGGCCAGCTACAACGCGCGCGGATATTTACGCGCGGCACATCCCGTAGAACCTTTCACGAAGTTGCGACTCGCCGCAGGCAGAAGCCAGTTTTGTACCCCGCCTTCTACGTGTTTTCTTTAACTTCGCAGTGAGCACATTTTAAATTGTCACACCGGTGAGCACAACCGTTGTGCAAGATTGTCCTGCCTGGCTGGTTTTACTTCGGAAAATTGTAATGGCGAATAAAATGTTTTTCAAAAAATTCTTTGTTTGAAAGTAAACATTCTTTATATATACACATATGCATATATAATTTGAATAAGACATTAATTGATAAATAAGAAATTATTAATTACCAATTAATAAAAATCGGGAGTACGGTTATAAACTCTTTTTTTTACCGCAAAAGAAAAAAATATAGAAATTGTGCACAAGTGTTGGATCATTTTGCATCATTCATCAGGTGAATTATTCAAAATCTGATTTAAAAAATCTTTATTTGATCCGAGTCGTCTATTTCAGTCGCATTTTTAAAAAACTTAATTATGTGACGTAACTTGCGCCGGACTCGAGCGTGTATATTCTCCTATAAATTTTAAACGGGGTACAAAAATCGCCCTCGAAAAGGTTAGTAACGAGGGTGGAAGTGGCTGTGACGTGTACGCGCAGGAACGGAAGATCGTTGTTGCCGTAAACCCCGGAAAACCCCGCGAGATGGATGGGAGGTTTGGGCCGGCATGTTAAGTCCGGGAACATACCATAGCACGCTCGTAGAATTAAACCGTTCTCGTGCTAATTGATTTAGGAGACCCCGTCGGCATATGTGTGTAAGTGTATGTATGTCTGTGTGTTTTGCAATGCAGCACAGCTTCTTGGTAATCCCTCGGTAACAAGAATCTTTTATTCTTTTTTATAAGATACTTACAATTAGTCGATATCTTTCTCATAAATTGTGAGAAAATGTCATGTCGTATTCTTTGGAAAGTTATATCTTCTATTTTTTATATACTCGTAAACAATGATGAATACTTTAATGTGCATGTGTTTGAATACAGGTTGATTGATAATAGTTATTTGTGTAACAAGTGAGGTAGCCTTCGGCTCGTGCGTAAACTCCGCACCCGGGAATTTTCATCTTTACACACGGCTTACACTCCCTATTTTATGTTGCAAGTGCCTGGAAAGTGGTCTATCACGCACGCGCAGCGTGCGTAATGGGGCACATTCCATGCACGTGTTGCATAAACGTTTTTAGCCTAGTTAATATCCATATAGATACACAAATCAATCTTAGTTTGAAATGTACTTTTGACGTATAGACTGCGTAAAACGTATTTACTTTGTGAGTGAGCGCAGTAACGAATATTTTTTACAAAGTAGCGTGAGTTTTGCTATTTTGATGACAATGTCAAATGGATAGCACTTCTAAATTGCCCGATTTGTATATGAATTTCTTCGGCACGCATATTCTTATACTTTCAATCACGTCTACCTTTTTTTTGTGATTCTGTCACCGCTTACGTGGTGCACACGCGTGAAAGTAAAAGTTTCTTGAATGGCTTTTCGGGGTTTGAGTATTTCCGTCGAAAAGAATTCCGCTCAGACGCCGACGGGGCGTCTACAAATTTCTCTTGGGACTATTTCCGCGCTCGCATATTAGCCCGACTGCGAGCCTAGCTGCAATCTCCGACGACGTGTAACTGATCGCGGAAGTTGAAGAAAAACCCGCATTGCCGAGCTACTTCAGCCGGCGCGCGGCGCGGCCGAATGCGCGAGGGGTGTTATTTTCTGTTCATAAATCCAAGACTTTCCGACGAGAAAAAAAAATATCCGCGACGTTGTTCGCACGATGCGGTTAGGAAACTTATTGTTAGGTTTAATTTGAACCGTGGAACCAAATGAGAGTCTTTGGAATCACGTTGAGCGTAAACGTAATTCTTTTTACGAATATTTTATCGAAGAAAGATTAAACTTTTTTTTCAGCCAAATAAAATGACAAACGAAGTCGATACAATTAAAATATCGCAGTCGTTTCGGTAATTTTTATGAATATTTGTCGATTCACCATAATTAATTAAAGACCCTTCGTTATACTCTTATAATTAAGGTGTAATAATAAGCATGGTATCTTGGTCGGTGCGTCGCGCAAATGAAAGAAGGTGAGGAAATGAAAGAAAGAAAAGAAGAAAGGGCTGATGGCTAGCGCTCGATAGGGTTAGAATGTAGAGATTGAACGCGAACATTAACGAGTGGCGAAATTTCGAGAAGTAATTTCAGACCGACGTGTTCAAAGATGGGTCGCAGTTGAGACATGTAGGGATCAGAAGGGGAAAGATCGATGAAGATCTGGCGGGAGAAAGACGACATGTCCTCTCTATTCCTGTGCGATTATCATACACTTCGGTGCACCCAATTCATGCAGCTATCATCGCAGTTGCGTTTTCAGTGTTCTGCCTTCAATCCTTCCTTTCTATCTATTCCCTTTGCAGATATAGACATATGTGCACGCATACATGTGAATACATGCACGCATACGCGTGCAGGCACGCACGCGGGCCCGTGAGAGAATCGCAATAACAAGTGATAGATAAGTCAGAATCGCTCGCGTTGTGCAGCCGAGACTCAGAAGAGGCTTTTGTGTGCTCTCAAAAGTAGATAGATAGTTAGGATGTCGTGGATTCGATACCGTACTCGACTGCATTTTCATTCGAAATCGCGGAGACGCGGTATACGAGTCGAGTGACGGAGAATTGGCAGCGCTTATGTTGAATCAGGCTTTCACACTTGAGTGCGCATCTTTGGAAATAATTGCGATATGAGACGAGATGAGTACATCACAATAATACACTATTCATCATCGGGTTAATTTCTAATTATATATATAACTGTAAAATATATTAAGACACATTTAATAATTTTAAAATAATATTTATTTTTATCAGAATGTTGCGCCGAATTATTGACTAATGATTGATAGATATTTGACGGATGACAAATAAATGTAAAATGAGCATGAAATGTAAAGGAGATAAATTAATAAAATCAAATTAGTAAATTAAATGACATGATATCGCATTGACAAGATCATATTAATTTTATCACGAGAGAATATTGCAGAAGCCTTTAATATTGGAAGCTTGAGAGAAATAAAAACCGTCGGGGTAGAACTCACTCTTAATTACAAAAAATTAATTAAACATTTCTCAGGATGATTAATTATTGAAAAGTTCTCTTATATTTTACCATCTATTTCAGGAAATAAAGGCTGTCGTATTTTTTTGTATAGTTTAAAATTGCTTAAAAGAAGTGCATACCTGATGTTTTAAATTTCATGCGATTTCATGAGAAGTTAGGTGGCGTGTAAAAGTCCTGCTTGTATTCTTCCGCGTCTTTATTCGCCACGCCTTTCCTTTACATTTTAAGCAAGTATACGCGCATCATTTCAGTTATTCAGCAATTAGCTTTTTACTACTGCTCCGCTCGTCATAAAACCGAAAATGATTCCTCTTAGCGAGCGTATAAATATGCCGGCTCTTCGAAAAATTACATAAAACCTCGATAGCCACCACTTTGTAATCTATCCTGATGACCGTCGTAAAACGTTAGTTAACGGTAGGAAGGATGATCTCGATCGGGCTGACCTCGCGAATAACGCGCGATAAAATTTGCAGTGGCCGCTATATCGGCATCGAAGCGACGCCGAAAGACGTCGTTCACTCCTGGCTACTCGTTCGCGACTACTTGCTCTGCTAGAATTTTTACGAAGAACGGAATTTCCGGTCTTTACTGATCGAAAATAAAAACAATATGATCCCGTAATATTTGCAGCTCAACACTAATCGTTATATTTAGATTGGCTTTATCGATCAAATTGTTCATAAAATTGTAAGTAATCGCTCGTAAATATCGCCCGCGATACATCTGTATTATGGAGTATTCTGTGTATTGATACAATAGAAAGATAAACAATTTGATCCGCAAGAATAAATATTTCCCCGTTTAAAATGTTGAAATTTATTGGCCATTTAAAATTGCTTGTTTATTTTTTTTATAATAGAATCGATTAAAATTTGATGACCGTAAATTCTAAGATCTTTCAAGATTAATATTGTCACATTTATATCGTTTATAAATAAACAATGCCGCCTATATGATATTTTTCTCCAAATGCACTTTTTGACTTCGATTGTTTCATATCATCATTCTATAGGATAAGATCTTAAAAGATCACATATATGTATTATTTATAGATGAGTTTCAATATTCATTCAAGAATATTCATTACATAGAAGTTGTATATTTCACTTTTGGCCCAGTTTTTTGTCTCTCCTGCCATGGAAACTTTACTTGTTACATAGGCGGTATTGTTTATTCATTGACGATACGTCGATTATAATTTATTGATAGAACTATTCACGAATATTCAATATCAATCATTTCACTTCCAGAAATGCTAAACGTTCAGTTATTGCTTGTGTAATTTGATAATTCACTATATATTGTAAACAGTTGCCAGTTTGCTTTATATTTCCACTGATGTTGTGGATCATCACCTGAGACATACGCCGTGAAGAGATTTCATCTCTTCTCTTCTTTCCTTGCTCTGCGACGATGAGGATTTATATGCGCGGTAAGGGGGAGGCGCTGCCGGGCAATTTACGGCCGCCACTTACATGGCGTGGCGCATTCTGGGTAATTAATATTTACGCCGGATAGATCGGTAATCCTATTATACACTCGGCACAACATCGAGATAATAAAAATTGTGAGCAACGCGTGATTACAGAGTGCGTCGAGTCCCCGAGGCGGGCCGAGTTTCTCTCCACGAGATAACATTCTCGAGGAAAAATTCTCACGCTTCTCCAGCAACCTTCAAGTTTGCAACTATATCTTTCGATATGCTAAAGAACGAAAGAAG